TCTGTATTTCTAATATTTTATTTTTGTTGTTGTCTGTATTTCTAATGTGTCTTCCAATTTGCCTGATACGCCAGTTGCGCCCCTTTCTGAGTCGGGATTCCTTATGCACAGTCACTCATGCTCTCATCAATTCTTGTCTGGACCACGGCAACGCTCTCTACATGGGGCTCCCCTTGAGGAGCACCCGGAGGCTCCAACTGGTCCAGAATGCGGCCGCGCGGGTGATCACGGGAGCGACATGGCGCTCCCATATAACACCCTCCTGCACGAGCTGCACTGGCTCCCAGTGGTCTTCCGGGTGCACTTCAAGATGTTGGTTCTCACCTTTAAAGCGCTCCATGGCTTAGGGCCAGGGTATTTACGAGACCACCTTCTGCTACCGATAACCTCCCAGCAGCCAATACGCTCTCACAGAGAGGGCCTCCTCAGGGTGCCGTCGGTCAAGCAATGTTGGCTGGTGGCCCCCAGTGGGAGAGCCTTCTCTGTGGGAGCACCCACCCTCTGGAACGAGCTACCTCCTGGAATACGGCTGATTCCGGATCTCCGCACTTTCCGTAAGACCCTGAAGACATTTTTATTTCAGCAAGCTGGCCTGGCCTGAATAGGTTTTATGGGTTAGTTTTTAATTGTATAGCTAGGGGTTTTAAATTGGGAGGCGGATTAATTTACTTTATTTTTAATTATCTTAACTTTTATATTGTATGTTATTTTAATTCTCGGCTGTTCATCGCCCTTAGTCCCTTCGGGGAGAAGGGCGGGATATAAATTCAATAAATAAATAAATAAATAAATTAATAAATTAATTAATAATAATAATAATAATAATAATAATAATAATAATAATAATAATTCTTTCTCCTGAGTTTTTGTCAAATTTTTCGTTAGTAGTCTTGTTTTTTCTTTATTAATTTTCAATCCTGCTACTTTTCCATATTGTTCTATTTTCTTTAATAATTTCATTCCTGATTGCTTTGGTCATTCTAGTATAAATAGCACGTCATCGGGGAACGCTTGTAATTTATATTCCCGATTCTTTACTTTTAATCTTTTTATTTCTTTGTCTTTCCTAATTTCGTTCAATAATATTTCTAGTGCTAATATGAATAGTAGGGAGATAGGGGACAACCCTGTCTCACCCCTTTAGATATTTGAAATTGGTCAGTTGTCTCTCCATTTATCCTTATTCTTGCTGTTTGGTTGGAATATATCGTCTTAATCATATTTAGGAATTTATCACCTGCTTCCATTTTTTCTAATTGTAATGTTAAAAATGTCAAATTGAGATTGTCGAACGCCTTTTGTGCATCAAGGAAAAGTAACGCCATTTGTTCGTCCAATTTCTGCTCATAATATTCAAGAGTATTGATTATCGTTCTTTTATTGTTTTTAATTTGTCTTTTTGGAATAAATCCATTTTGGTCTGGATGAATATAACCGACAATAATATTTTTCATTCTCTGCAAAATAATTAGAGTGAATAGTTTATAGTCCACGTTCAGAAGTGATATAGGTCTATAGTTTTTAATTTGAGTAAGGTCCAAATCTTCTTTTGGTATTAGTGTAATGGTTGTCTCTGTCCATGAATGAGGGATTTTGGCTTCTGAGAGTGCTTCATTAAAGACCTGTAGTAAGATATTGTCTATTGAGTGGTGTCCAATTTTATAGAATTCTGATGGTATACCATCCGGACCTGGGGTTTATTGTTGTTCTGTTTTTTCTTGCCTCGGTTAGTTCAAACATTGAAATTGGTCTATTCAGTAATTCTCTTTGAGTTTCGTTTATTTCTTGGATATTGGTTTTACTTAAATAATCTTTAACTTCTTCTGCTTGAATTTCTTCCTGTGCGTATAGGTTCTGGTAAAAGTTCTTTGCAATTCTTTTTTTTCCCTCGTTCCTGTGTTGCATTTGTCCATGTTCATCTTGTAGTTAGTATATTGTTCTTTTTTTCTTTTCCTTTTTTAATTTGTAAGCCAACCAACGTCCTGTTTTGTTTGCATATTCAAATTGATTTTGTTTAGCCATTTTGATTTTCCTCACTATTTCTGTTGTTGTTATTAAATTTATTTTATGTTTGGTAAGATTTATTTTTTCGTTAATCATTTTCCTATATGGTTCTTTCTGTAATTCCTCTTCATATTTTCCAAGTTCTGTCAGTAGATTATCTTTCCTCTGCTGTTTGTCTCTGTTTTTCTTTGCTTTATAGGAAATTGTTAATCCTCTTATGTAGGCTTTAGTGGTGTCCCATAAAATTTGCAATGATGTTTGTTCTTTCTTATTTATTTGAAAAAAATATATCCATCTCTTTCTTAATCATTTCTATGTATTCCTTATCATTAATAATCTCTCTGTCCATCATCCATCTTTTTTGTTTTTGTTGACCTTTCCAGACTACTATTATTGGGTTATGATCTGCCCATACATTCGGTGCAATTTCAATTTCTTTTATATCTTTCCTTAACTCTATTGTCATCCAGGCCATGTCAATCCTGGACCAGGATTGGTGCGGGTTTGAGTAAAATGTGTATTGTTTCTTGGTTTTGTTCAGTTCTCTCCATGCGTCCTACAGTTGTAGTTCTTGGGCCATTTCTTTGAAGGTATCTGGGAGTGTCTTTTTCCTGAATTTATTCTTTTTGCTACTTTAGTAATCATTTTCTATATCTACGATCACATTGTAGTCCCCTACAATACATATATGTTCATAGTCCAATGCTTTAATTATATTATGTATTTTTTTAAAATATTCTTTTTGGTTTCCGTTCGGTGCATAAATTGATATTAGTAATATATTTTTGGTTTCCATCTTAATATCAATCATCAATATCCTGCCTTCTCCGTCTGTATAGATTTGTTTTGCTTGTGTATGATTTTTGATATATACTGCGATACCTCTTTTTTTTTGTTCTGTTAATGAAGTGAATAGTGTTCCTAATCTTCTATTTTCTAATAACTGTTGGTGTTGCCTTTTAATATGCACTTCTTGTAGATTCATGATATCCATATTTAATTTTTGTAATTTTTTAAATGTGTATGTTCTTTTAATTGATACGTTTAGTCCATTTATGTTGATTGAAATCAACTTTATTTCTTGTCCCATTTTTCTTACTTATCTGTTTGTTATCCTAAGTCTTTTTGTGTTCCTTGTTATCATTTGTGTTTTCCCCCTAGCTCCTTCTTGCTCCATCTTCTCCCTTTCAGTTCATCTTTTTTCTTCTTGTTCTCTTTCTGCTTCCTCTGTAGAGTGTTCTTGGTTTTTGTTTTCTGGATCTTGTCTGGTTTCCTGCTCTTCTTCTAATATAAAATGGTGGTCAAAAAAATCTTGTGCTTTCTCTAGAGTGTCAATTTTATGTTTCTTATCTTCCCAGGATACCAGGATTCCTTCTGATACCAACCAACGAAACATTATTTTATGTTTATTCAATTGTGTTGTTAGGAAGCTATAATTCTTTCTTTGTTCTCTTATTCGTCTCGGGATCTGTTTTAGGGTTATTATTTCCTTCCCCTTGTAACTAATTGTTTCTTTTCTCATTAATTTATAAATCTCTTCCTTCATTGTTTTGCGTGCAAATCTAATATGGATCTCCTTGGGTAATTTGTTCCTGTGGACATAGTTCCTGTGGACTCTGTAAATTTCATCAATTTCCCTACTGATCTCATCTTTCCCCTTCTGGGTGGCTTCCGCTAATATTCCCATCATCAGATCCCTTAAGTCTTCTTCTCTAGTTTCCACAATGTTTTGGAACCATAGGAAGAAAGATGCCTTCTCCATTTCTAAATAGGTAATCGAATCTTCCAGTTCTCTATTTAGTGCTGTTTGATTTTGTTCCATATTATCAATCTTTTTCTCTGCTTGGTCCATTTTTACTTCTATATTCTGAATCTGTTGTTCATTTTTTACAATATTTTGTTGTATTTTTTCGATCTTGTCATCCATTTTTTTAATGTTGTCATTTATTTCTCCTACATCTAATTTCAATTCTTCATGGTTCCTTCTCATTTCCTCGTGATTGTTCGCTATCGATTCTTGCGTCTTATTCATCCCCTCCTGGATCATGGTTAAGACCGATTGGATGTTTTGTATATTGAATGTAGTGGAGGTTTTTTCTTTATCTGAAGATAGCATTGTGTCAATTATGTTTTTTGTTGTGCTGATGAGGATATTGTGGCTGTCTGATTTGATATTAATTTTTTCCCTGTCTTGGTTATTGTTGATGGGGCTGTTGTTGTCATCTTTATTTTTTGCTTTACAATTTCCCAAATTCTCATACACTATGTTGATTGAGGGAAGGAATCAGTATGTGGAATATCTTGTCTATTTTCTTACTTTTTTGTTCTTTAGTGACTAGTTTGTGTATTTCTAATAATTTCACTTGAAAATATTGTTATATAAGGGTTAGGTAAGTCAGTTGAGGAGTAGGGAGAAAGTACAATAGTTCAGCAATTCATTACTCTATTCTTATCCCTATTCGGTATAATATTTATATATCAGATAATAAGATTAATAAATCACACTTTTAATTAACAATTAATTATCAATATTTTTGTATACAGTCTAGAATCATCAATTAGCTTATTTTACAATTACTTAAGATTACTATAAAAGTTACTATGTCTAAACAATATCTATATAATAAGTGTATATAGTTCTAATCTAAACAGTTTCAATTAATCAATATGTTTCTATAGAAATCTATCGAATTACTTCCAGAAAAGGGGAGAAAGTAGAAAAAGATAATATTAAACCATCTAATTAATATATACTATAATAACTCTAATTGTTAAGCAATATCAATACCTAGATCTAAAGTCTAAATACTTTTTTAAAAGTATTAAATTGGGAACCTTTCCTTTGATTTAGGCACCAAAGCAAGTGTTTGAGTGAAGAGGTCTTTAGCCTGAGCTTGATGCATGCATCAGCCAGACTTTATTGTATTTTCCCTGCTCTGATTGTGTTTGTCCCCTTGTGTCTTTCTTTTCTGTGACCTTGCATTCTTAGAATGTTGAGAGTCTGTCGGTATTCTTCATGGTACACATATTTTGACAAGCTTGGTAATATTAATTGGTCCCTCAGGAGCTTTCAGTAATAAATCTGTCTTACTTGCAGTCAGAAGTACATGCGAAGAACTCTGCTTTTCTTATCTTCACTATTCAGTGGAGGCCACACCATAGAAATATGAGAAGATATGACAAAGTTTCCCCTTCAAACATCTCTGCTTGCAGTGTGGTGGGAAGGAGAAACTTTTGAGCCCATATATTGCAAATTTTGCTTTGTCTTACTACATTCTAGTTTCTCTTACAATATACATTATATCTTTTTTTGTTTGTTTGTGACTTTTTTGTAAACCTGCCCACTCTGTATTTCCAACTATCCTTGACTGCCCACATTGCTTACTAGTTTGTTTTAGTTTTTGTAATTTTAATCTATTTTGTATTGATAACTGTTATTATATGTTGTTTTATCTTGATATGAACTGAACCATGAGATGGGCAGCAAATAAATTTGATAAATAATAAATAAACAAGTACTTTAGACTATGTCAAAATACGTTTCTAAAACCAAAGCCTCTCACTCTATACAGTTTCTTGTACAGCTCCATTTGGAATTGTGAATTCATCTATCTGAAAGGAGATTCATGAAATGCATAATCAATCATTTTTCAAATACATGGAGAAAATATTGGTAATTCCTTCAAATGGTAAGTTTTCTTGATCCAAATACTGTAGCTCCACTAGTATCCTATTTTCAGGCTACTTTGGGTTTGAGACTGCATTCATGCATTCATAGAAGTGGATAAGTCACAGCCTTACTAAATGTATGGAAATAATTCACTCAAAGGGAACAATTGGTTCAGTCCTCAGTTAATGTAAACTGATGCATTTTCTATTGATTTCAGGGAATGAACTAACAATGATTTGCACCGTTATGTAAATTACTCCTTCTGAATTGTATACTTTCCTTTTCATGTATTTCAGAGATTTATATATTTACCATAATGCAAAAGTCCTTTAATATTTTATAGATTTTATTTTAAGAGTTTGAAAGAATAGCCTGCCAACATTTAGAATCAGAATAACTTTGTATTGTATGATGTTCATAAAATTAATGCATTTTTTTTAATAATTGCACATATCATTTGGACATTTACTGAAGGATATTGACTTTAATTACAAAGCTCATATGCATACTGATGAAATTGCAATGTGATTACCATTTTATGGTCTTAGAAGTATTAGCAAACTTTTACAAGAATAGAAGAAAAACAAATTTATTTTCTGTCACCAATACTTGGAAACCGAAATAGAAAGCTATCTTAAAAGTATTTAGTGCTTATGCAACAACATTTACAGGAACGAGTCTTGGTAGTACAGTGGTTTAATGCACCCTGTTATTAACACAGCTGCCTGCAATTTCTGCAGGTTCGAATCTTACCAGGCTCAAGGTCGACTCAGCCTTCCATCCTTTCTAAGGTAGGTTAAATGAGGACCCAGTTTGTGGGGGCAATAAGCTGACTTTGTATAAATATACAAAAGTATGAAGGCTATTGCTTAACGCATTGTAAGCCGCCCTGAGTCTCCGGAGAAGGGCGGCATATAAATCAAATTAAACAAAAAAACAAAAAAACGAGAGAGCAGTGTTTTTGTAAAGAAATCCAGAATAATTCAAGATATTCTTAGAATGATATGAGACAGATGTCAGACTTCAATACGGCCAAGCACAGATGCTAATTTGTTGACTGTCTAGCATCATCTTTTACAAATCAAATAGTTGTTAAATTCTTCACCATAAAGAATACATATTTCATTCTAACTTTGTTTTAAAAAATTATTAGAAGTCCAGGGAAACAATACCCATGATTCAGTGGTTTTCTGAACTTTTGTTCAGTTTAGAATGTCTTTTACTGGTCCTCCCAGCCAGGTCAACACTTCTTATAAACCAGTCCTTGATCCTTTTCTTTAGACCCATGACGGCGAACCTATGGCACCCATGCCGAAAGTGGCACACAGAGCCATTTCTCTAGGGACACCAGCCATCGCCTGTTGCTCTTCTGGGTTCTGGTATGCACATACACTCTGGCCAGCTGGTCTTTGCGCACTTGGGGGTGCCAGAAACTGGAAGAGCAGCTCCCTGGAGTGCATACATGTGCCAGGAAGCTGAGCTTCATGCCAGCCAGCTGGTTTTCATGTGCGCATGCATGCCAGAAACCGCAAGACCAGGTGACCAGCGTACATGTGCATGCTGGAAACCGGAAACTCAGCTTCCTGGCGTTCTCATGTGCACCGGAGAACTGCTCTTCTGGTTTCTGGTGCTCCCCTGCGTGCACGCATATGCTCCCGTTTTGACACTTGGTGCTGAAAAGGTTCGCCAACACTGCTCTAGACCTTGATTCCCAAAATTGTACATGTGTGCATTTATTTGCCGACAGCAGGCTTCACCCTTCCCTAATTTATTTTCTGTCATGTGGATCACAGGATAACATTCCTTCTCAGCCTATGCTACAATAATTTCTGGTTTTTGTGGCAGTCCTGCTCTCATGCCTTATTCAAGATACACGTGGCTTCAGCCCAGACTTCATATCCTTGCCTTTTTCACTACTGAGGTATATTACAGTCAGAATTTAGCAGGAATTCTAGAAGCAGAGGATTACCTCTCGTTACTTTCATTTGGATTTGTCTGGGACAGTTGCTTGCTTTCTAGAACTGCGGTGGCGTAGTGGTTAGAATGCAGTACTGAAGAATCCGCTCACTGCTCATTCTAGGAGTTCGATCATGAGCAGCTCAAGGTTAACTCAGCCTTCCATCCTTCTGAGGTGGGTAAAATGAGGACCCAGATAGTGGTAGGGTAATATGCTGACTCTGTAAACTGCTTAGAGAGGGCTGTAAAGCACTGTGAAGTGGTACATAAGTCTAAGTGGTATTGCTATTATAAGACTATACAAAATGGACAATTCCTCAACACTTTGATCAAAATTATGGAGATAAGGCCAGTGTCTTGATTGCCTTTTTCACTGGAGTAGCTTCTGCCCAAGCAGAGATGCAACTTTTGGGTGAAATTACTTAGAAGCAGCAGAAAGGGTGTTACTCTGAAAGGGTGCATTCATCAATCTTTCACTGAAGTAAAAAGTGCCCATTTGAACCAGAGGTGGTATTCAGCCAGCTCGGACCAGTTTGGGCGAACCGGTAGTAGAAATCGTGGGTGGGTAGGTAAATTATGTGAATCTCACCTCTGCTTTGAACCTCTGCATGGCTGTGTTTTCCCCAGATATTCTAAATTTTAATTGCTCTTGAGATGTTCTCCCTATGGTTTCCTCAGGCATCAGACTTTACTTCCAGTGTGAATACTGAACAGTTCCTCCTGTCTTTTTCCTCTTCTGTTGGTTTATGAAAGCCTTAAGAAGAGTTCCTTATCTGAGCTAAAATGATAGATAAGAAGGTTATTTTCAAGGTGGCTACTTTATGGCCCCCCAAGTAAATTAATTGTTTCTTGTCTTTGGTGGAAGGAGGCGTATTGCTAAATTAATGCATTTGTGCTCTCTCGCTCTCTCATCAAAAAATTGAAAACTTCTGCAGAATTTTTTTCCCTGAATTTTTCAAGTCTCTTTCAAAACTTGCAGAGTATATTACAGCCTGTATCTGCACAATTATCAACATTATAAAATAATACAGTATTTTAATATTGACACTTTTGAAGCACTTTCTTCTCTGGTTCAGAAAAGCAGTTTTCTCTCTGGTCCAGAAAAAGAAATAGGCAGAAGAAACACCTGAAGAGACCCAAATGGAATACTGGATGGACACAGTGGTCAGCTCTTAAGTATAATACACATTTAATTTTTCAGTTTGTATTTCTGACTCAACTATGATTTAGATTGTATAAAGATCATCAGGGCGGGCCTAGATTAGTATCACTCAGAAATGTAGTGCCTTGTTAACAAATGTAGAGCAGAAAAAATCTAAAAATAATTTTCCTCTTCTTATTTCCCTCTGCTGCAGAGATACATTCTGTGTCTTTTTCATTCTTTGGCTTGGTGTTGAACATTTGAACTCCTTGGGATTACTTTGTAGAAGTAACAGAAATGCCTGGCATCTGCATACAAAGGATACCAGGTACAAAGGTAATGAAGATATAATTCAGTTTGGGCCCACATTCAAAATTGGTGATGATGCCTGTTACAGAGAAGGCCCTGCCTCTAATGCAAGATACTGTAAGGGGAGACATTTTAGAAAGTTCTGTAACAAAATATTTTCAGAAGTCTAGTATGTGTATGAAATACAAGTGCCTGGTTTTGCTTTGAATCAGTGTGGGCTCATTGCAACGAGTCCTTGCAGTTTTTCTGACTGGCTCAGGGTTGACTCAACCTTCCATCCTTCTGAGGTTGGTAAAATGAGGATCCATATTGGGGGTGGGGCAGTGGTAAAATGCTACCAGTTCACACCAGTTCGGGCAAACCGGTAGTGATAAAAACTACCTGTTCGGGCGAACCAGTAGTAAAAAAAAGCTACTGGTTCCTTCGAACCGGTATTTCCGATGATCAGCTGTGCCACGTGATTTAAAATCTAGTGAATCTAAATTGTGTGGCACAGCTGATTCCCCCCTCCTCACTGCTCTACTTACCTTCCCAGGCCTCCTTTTGGTGTGTACTGCACATGCGTACATGCACATGTAGTGCACGTTTGGTGTGCATTGTGCATGCGTGCGCAGCGTGCATTTGGTATACAATGAACATGCGCACACATAGCATGCACTTGGCGTGCAGCATGCATGCGCAGCCAGCAAACAGGTAGCAAACAAGTAGATATATAAGTCTAAGTGCTAGTGCTATTTCCTGGCAAGGCTTTTCAGAAGTGATATGCTCTTGCCTCCTTCTTATGGCTGAGACAGAATGAGTGGCTCAAGCTCTCCCAGCTGGCTTTGTGCCAAAGGTAAGACTAAAGTCATGGTCTCCCTGTTTCTAGCCTGGTGGCTTAACCATTGCATGAAGCAGGCTGTCATATGCCTATTAAAATAAGAAAGCAGACAATTGCATTTATCTAGAAGCTAAATAGTGATGTGTGATAATTTAAAAGATAAATAAAATCTCATTTTATCCTTTTCACATATCCCTTACTATAATGCAAATAGTCTAGTAGAGCAAACCTGTATGTGTCTGTTTAAAAGTAAGGTCCCTTTAATTAATAATAATAATAATAATAATTTTATTTCTATACCGCCCTTCTCCCGAATGAGTATAAAAGATCAGCCTGAATGTTTTCTGTGGGGTATCCATATCCTTGCTGGTGCAAAAATGTCTCCGTTATTGAAACTCATGTAAAAACCCTCTCATAGATTATCACTTAACGTATCAATAAAATATATTCCTTATGTTGTATATTATCAATTCTTAATGCCTTTCTCTAAGAGTGCATCTCTTCTTTAGGCATTGTTACAGAAGTGCCTTTAATGTATCTCTAACAGCTTCAGAATGCTTTATTTTACCATGTTGTTAATGGTGATATTTCATGGTTCATTTGCTCCTCATAATAACCCTTTTGCTCTTCAATGGCAAAAAAAAAAAAAAAAATACCAGTGTGTTTGATCTCTGTGGGTCAGTAAAATGAGTCCTTGAAATTTCTTTAATTTTCTTCATAATTAAGTTGCAGCTAGAGTGATTTTTCCCTGATTAAAAATAAACTTGATTTCATCCTGATCAATGTACTAGATTAAAATACAGAACATATGGATCTTAAGCATTTCTAGAAATATACTCTGTTACAGATATTATGTTCTCTATTTGTCATCTATGACATTTGGTGAAAACACTTCAATAATGTTTTAAATATGAGCACAATATAGGAAGCTGATTTATATTATATCAAGCTATTTATTCATTTACCATGTAGTAGGGCTGGATTACTATTATCCTTCTCATCTTTCCTGTTACTTCTCCTTTTGGTATCTTATGATGTATGATTTGCTGTTTGCCTGTGTACTGAGAGAATGTATGAAGATACTCAGTCATACAGGTCATGGTTTCCCAAAGATGCTTTTTCAAAAGGCAACTGGACTTTGTTTTTCCTTGAAGATGTTTCGCTTCTCATCAAGAAGCTTTTTCAATTCAGTGAGGAGGGAAGAAAAAGCACTATGTGTGATTTTAGACTAAGCTTTGATGAGGATATAAATAAGAACTAGGAAGAAAGTATGTTTACCACAGTTCCAGAAAATTCTCATTCTCCCTGCCACATGGATCTTTCGGAATCTGCAATGGCCATTATCAAAGAATCTCGAAGGCTTTAACTACTAGTGTATAAATGTCACTATACTGAAACAATATAATATATTAAGATTTAAAACAATACAGAAAACAGTAAAATAAATAAATAAATTATCCGGCTTCAATTTCTGCCCTGGTGGGTGATAGAATACGCTGTAATGTCCTTATTCTTGGGGAAAAACATCACATGAAATTAATGGCCTCAGGTCAGCCATCTGGGAAGAAAGAGAGAAGGGGGAAAAGAACACTGTGGTTCTCTTCTCTTCTTTTTTCTTCCTTTTTTTCTTTTTCTTTTTCTTTTTCTTTTTCTTTTCTTTAAGAAGCACAGAGTAGAGAAGGAAGAAAAAAAGCCTTTCCCTAAAGCAGGACAAAACAAATAACCATAAAGTAACAATAATGAAATCAGTGGGGGAAGCCATTTTACTAAGACATCATTGTGAACTACATGCTAGACTAGTGTTTCTCAATCTCACTAAGTTTAAGATGTGTGGACTTCAAGGCTGGTCAGTCTGTCTTTCTCTCTCTCTCTCCCACCCTCCTTCCCTCTCTCCATTTCACCCCTTTATCTCCCCATAAGTTGCAAAAATAACTAAGGGAAAAAAACAGACTTCTGGCTTCACTTACTCTGCCGACATTGTTTTCTACTTGCTTTTCATTTGCAAAAAGAAAAAGAAAGAAAAGAAAGAATTGCATTGTTGTCCCTTTATCAGAAGAGGGAGCTGCAGTCGAGACAAAATAAGTCTTTGGGTCACTGTACTTCTTTACTGATGAAAGAAGAATTCTGTAATTTATTAGAAGGGGATATTACTAACAGCACCCTCTCCTTCACAAAATGCAAATAAAAAATACCTTTCCCAAGTACTCATACAACAAAATAACATAAAAATAATAATTTTTAAAAAGCCATTCACATTTCCAAAGCAGACATCATACTATACTTAGCATACTATGCTAAGGTCAAGGCATTCCTCAGCCAACAGAAATCTTGTTCTACTGCTCTAGAAGAGGTGGACAGGGATGAGGGTTACCTCATTCCTGTCCACCACATTATTTCCTTCAGCCTTCAGAAGAGAGAAGGACATTGCTTGGTGTCTTCTTTCCATTTCTACTCTGCTGCAGTCATACACATCAAAGGGTTAAACCTGGAATAATCAAAGGCTTTTCTGCCTCAAAATTACTTTGGGTAATTTTTCAAGAGATGTTAGGGATGGGATTTCAAGAAGTGTCCGTGAGAAGCTTAGGAATGAAGGTGTTATACTTCTACTGACACAGAAGACAGTTTGAATGAAAGTTTATGAAGCCTAGTGCTTTATAGGAGGGAATTAAAATACATTTCCTTCCATTAAAGCTGTGTGAATCCTATACTTGCTTTCAATTCCTTTATGACTGCCTAATATGACACTTTCCTTTTGAGAATTATTAAGGAAGAAAGCTTTCCTGCCATCAGCCATAAGAATTAGCTTGAGCGTCTCTATTTCAGTATATTTAAAAGTAGATTTCATGTTGATGTCTCCAAATTGTGTGGTCTCCACTCCCTACCCAAGATAATATATATTACAGAGCCAGCATACTTCAAATTGGTCTGCTTTCTCAGGAACACCGAAGAAAGGGTGAAGATGGGGGGTGGAGAGAAATTGCTGAAATTGTCTTGAAATATTAGAACCCAAATGGGACCTGTAAGCTTTTAAGATAAAGCTTTTAAAATTTATCTCAAAGCTCTGTGGGATTTCTGCAAAGGATTTGAAGTTTTATATCATCATGCATAAAGCAGCTATAGTAAATTGTCAAGCTCTGCTTTGTGTAGTGGCATAAAAATTTTAAAGCAAAAAAATAATAATAATTTAAGGATCTTTTCTCAATCAGATGTACTGTATTTTCAGACAAAAATCCAATAGGAAAAGCTGATTTCTTTTTTAATTGCAATTGTTTTCATGCAGTGTTAATTTCCTTACTGTGGTACAAGATTCCGTCAAACAAATTTGGTGAGTTCTTTGACCTCCACAGAGATGAGAGCAAATTGTTTGGCCATTGACCAAACAATAATAGCCCAGGATAACTTTATTACAATATATCACTTTTTTTAAAAATGTCTTCCTCCAACCTTCTATCTTGAGTTACAAAATGGAAAACAACTTAGTGCAGCTCAGTCTTCCTTCTTTAAATTGGTTTGGAATTCATTTTCAGTCAGGCAGAAGAAACTGAAAGCAGAATGAAGCTTTTCATATACCAAACTAGCTGGATACCCATGCTTCATTATGAAACTATGTGATTGGGCATGATAAATTGAACTAACCAGTTCTGGAGTAACGCTTGGGTAGATTCCACAATGGATGTCCCTCTCATTGTCATCATCACCAACGAAGTATATCTGGAGAAATGAAGGCTGATGCTGAGGCCCCACCATGATACTCCCTATTCTGTGGTAGACATGTCCCTGCACTTCGAATGTTGGCATATTTAGCTGTAGCTGCCTGATTAACATAAGGGTTATTAGATGCATACTTTTTTCCAGCCTCTCTATTGACTTTGGGATGACTTTGGTGATACTTTTTTGCAGCTTCCCTTACTTATGTTTTCCTAATCGCATCTGTAAATCTTTTCCTGTGTTTTTTTCTCTCTTTTCCCTTTAACTGGTGTTACAGTAGAAGGAACAGATTCATCTGAACTGAGTAGGTCAGTGTAGGAAGTGATTTGGGGCTGGGACACTATGCAGGAGAAATTTGGTTCACAATCCATTGGCTCAGTGGTGGTCAGTGATTGAAACTCATAAGGGAATATATCCCATCGCCTTGAATTCGGAAGCAATTCCATAGGTGGAAGGCGTAGACATTTTGGTGAGGTAGGGATGTTTAGTACTGT